CATTTGGGGATTTGTCTGCTCGTAGCATAAGTAGGAAAATGGGCTGTGTAATCTATTTCCAGCAAATGTCTTTTTAGAGACTCTTTGTGGGAAACCCTTTAAATGGATCTGACAGTTCCTGTTTCACCAGCCACTTGTGATATATTTTTACTGTCTTACTGCACAGGGTAAAAGCAGATACATTCTCAAGACAACTGGGGATTGTTAAGAATCCTGAGGGGATCTATTATTTGTTGATATACTTTATTGTTGCAGAATAAAAAATGAGTCATTTTACCCAGATAAATCCTGGGTGCTTTATGATTAATTACATTAAAATATATTCTTGCTATTTTCAGGCTTTAGCAAACTGTTGTTTCTGAGGACTATTTGGTGTGTTCAGTTTTATTTGGGAGAGCTGGGATGGCTTTTTGGATAAAATATGTGATTCCTGAAAGACACTAAACACTGAAAATTTTGTATTTAGCCTTGCAAGCTGCAAACAGCTTGCAATTCTGCTCTGCCCTGCACTGGTCCCTTGTGAGCTCTAAGTTTTATGAGATTTTTTTTGTGAGTTTTCTGGGCATTCCTTTAATGTAAATAACACTACTGTACAAAGGGCCAGGGGCTCTATGGAGCCATTTAGAAAATGGATGCAAAGCATGCTTTATTCTGTATTTATCAAGTAAGTAACAATCATGAGCTGATGGCAGCCAGTCCACCTGGGCTTAATCCCAGATCCATGAGCTGTTTTATACACTGGGTGGTAAGATCCTAAATCAGCTCTTTTGGTAGAAAAGCCTGCTGGAAAATGAGTGGATCAGGATGATTTGGGGAGCCTTCTTCCAAGGGCTTTTCCCCCTTTCTTTGTCTGTAAAATAAGGTGCCTCTTCTTTGTATTAATTCAGCACCTTGTCATGTAAACATTAAAGAAAGCCTTCCTTAATTGCTGATTATTGTTGGTGCTGGCCTGGCATCAGCCCACAAACTGAGACAGAAACCAACAGACAGGAATGGAAGTGTCTGTGGAAACTAAACTCTTTCTTTTTTTATGATGCTTGGGATAAACCCTCAGCAGGTAGTGCAATCTTTCATACCATCCATAAGGTGCTGAAAACCCATTTCACAAATTTCTTGGATGTATGTCACATATTTCTGCAGTTACTCTGGGGCAAATACAAGAGCTATGGATTCTAATTGAAAGTATATGAAGGGTCACAGTGAATAAATGAGTCCAAATCCACTCTATGCTTAAATAACAGTTTCTATTTCAGTAAGCCCCGCTGGACAAGGACCTGTGTCCTTACAGCACTTAAACAAATATTTCCAAGGAGGCATTACCATTCACACCACACTTTGCTCTGTAGTGACAGAGAACAGAAATTGCTTCTTCCATTTTGCTTCTGTACCTTGTTGGAACCACAATTTCCCTGTTCCTTTGGAATGTGATGGCCTGAGAGAGGCACATGTCCTTCTCTGCTGCTCCATGTGCTGCAGTGTTTCCATTTCTGCTGCCATCTGACCAGGTCCAGGTTTCTTCTGTTGGTTGCATAAAACGAGGTCAGTGGCTTCACAACAAGGTGTTGTCACATATAATTAGCCCTTCATTCTTCTGAATTTTAGAGAGATAATTGCCTTTCCAAGACTTCAGTGGAACAGAGATATGTCTCTTAGTCCCTTTATGATTTCAGTGTAAACATGCACGTGTTGCAGAGAATAATTTAGATTGAAAGTAAACAAGATCTGTGCTGCGACCTGGGATGAGAAGCCCAGTGGGAGAGTGTTTCTGGCCCAATGGTTTTGTCATAATGACTTTTACAGCACTTGTTGGTGACAGCTGGCACGGGAGCTTCTGTGACCTGATTGTGGTGACACCCAGAGCCCTTCAGAGCACTCTCAAACCTGTTCTGCCTCGTGTTGGTGGGATGGTTTGACACACAGAGTCTACAGAGCACAACAATTGCCAAAACCTCTGCTTCCCCCAAACACGCCTCTCTGCTGAGAGGAGCTGTAATGCTTCTGGAATCCAGCTAAAAATCAGGGCTGAGAGCATCAAATCAGTCAATGGCTTTTCCCACACCCTTAAATAGAGAAGGGGAACATGGAGTTTATACAGCTACTTCTGTTGGCCAAGCCTCAGCAGCAGACAGGGTTAATGAAGTGAATACTAACTTTTAAGTGCTCTCCATTCTCTGAGGCTTAGTTTGGATTGTGGAAGAATGCTCATCTCTACCCTACACTTTTCCCTGCTGTGGGGTTTTCCTACTGTAAGTGAATAGCTGAATTCATCTTGGCCCCAGCAGAAATTTAGTAGAGATATTAAGCAAGCACAGTCATCCTCACAAAAAGTTCAGCTAACTTAATTTAGTTTGCATGTCTAAGAGGAAAGCTGCCATTTAATTTCTCAGAAAGACATAAAGTGATTTTTCTCTTGGATTCTTCTCTGCTTAGTACCATTGCTGGCAGCATATTTTCTGAATAGGTTTGAAATAGTTGGGCTGAGAGGAATTTTTGAGCTGCATGTGCTTGTGTCCTTAACAACTGTAATGTTAATAATAAATGTCTGACCCTGAATTCTTTGCTCATACCAGTAATTTTTTATGTAAGCAAACCTACATACTTTTTAAGGATTTATCTGAGAAAATTTTGCTCCTGTGAGTGAACTCTGCCAGCAACAAGCCTTTGAAGTCTGTATGCTACAGCACAGCTGATGTGAGATATTTTAGAGTCTGGCCAAAGACCAAAGATGATGACAAATGCCGTTCAGAAAATAAAAGAGCTCTTTGAGTGTCCTGCAACTTTTGTTTTCCTCAGTCCTAAGCTCTCTCAGCAAAGAGAATGTTTTGCCTCAGTCTCCATTAATACCTCTAAGACAGCTCTGAACCTTCCAACAGGGCTGTAGGACTCTGTACCACAAGCAGGTATCACCTGCAGGTGTCCTGGTCAAAACTCACCTAGATGTTTCTATTCCTTCCAGCCTGACACATTTTTTGATTTTCTGCTGAAGGCATCTGTTGATACTCATTTTGGGGGGCTTATTTCTCTGTTATCTGACAACGCAGCATGAATTATAACCATGAACAACCGTCCCAGCCTCAGATCAGAATTTATGTATCTATATCATTTTCGCCAACCTACTGTCAGGATATTGGAAGACAAAAATGTCTCAGTATTTAATGACAATGTATCACCAGGTTTTTCAAATCTGTAGGCAGATTGAGTCTTCCAGTGCTTTTTCTTTAAGGAATTGTATCAGTTTTAGGACTTCATCAAAGCTGGAATAAACTCTAAGGCTGCATGCATCAGCCAGGTCTCAGGTATCAACATCAGAAGATTCAAGAGCTCTTCGGTATGATTAGGTGAGGATGAGAAAATGGTAATTTTTTTGACATCATCTGACACAGGTGGATCTAGAAAGGACACTTGTACTAAAATAAATGCTGGCTTGTGGGGAATTCAGTTGTATTCCAAGACCCTCCCTGATACCAACACACAAGAGAATCAGCCTGTGTGGACTCCTTATGGATCTGAATGCTGAAAGGAGATAGGATTTGGGGATGTGACCTCATGATGTCCTTGTAATGCAGGGAGTGAATTGCACAGGCAAAAAGGAAATCACATCAATCCAGCATCAGTTTCTGCATTTCATAGGTAGAAATCCAGTGCTTCCTGTGTGCCTGTTTTTCAGGGAGCTCGTGCAGTAGTGTAAGGATTCAGTGCTTGGTTTCAAACTGTAACAGAGAAGTTTGATTTGATATTTACAGGACGATGTGCCTTGTGTTTATTGATGTGCCTCGTGTTTATCTGCCTCTTCCCTGAGAGCCCAGAAGCTGCAGGGCTGATCTGGACACCACCCTGCAGATTTGCCCTCCAGAGTGGCAGGGAGTGACTCATGCTTGCTTGTGATACTAATGATGTGCATGGCATGGCCCCTGCTGGGGCTGGCAGCACCATCCAGGACATCTCATGGGTTTTTGGCATAAGTATAAAAAAAAAATACTTGTGCAAAACCAGAGTAGCTTAGGAAAAAATAACTTTGATCAAACTTGTTTGGGGAAGCAAGTATTCAAGAAATTTCTCCTTTGTTCTCTGGAACAGGAAGCTTTCTGAGAGCAGCTGTAAGCAAAGAAAAAATTAAAAATTTAAGTAGAAGCCAAATTAGATAATTGCTAGCAGATTTATTTATTTAGTTGCACATATTAACAGGACAGAATTTCGAAAAGTGATGCCCTGTATAAATTTGTATAAAATTATTCATATTTAAACCTTTCACACTGAAGTCCTGACTCCTGATCACTGTAAAGGACTTCTGTCACCAATGGAAAATCACCACCTCTTAAATCACTGGCATTGACTCTGCTGTTATTATTTACTACTTAGAAAATAAGTAATAAACTGTCTCCTGTGAGATGAGCTGCTGTGCAAGCTGCCCAGCTCCTCCCCAAGGTCCACAGAGCACAGATTGATATAAAGATGCAACTCAGCAGGTCATACAAACATGAGGTCAACTTTTTGCCTTGACTGAATACAGTTTTATTTCCTGACTGACAGGGGCCTGACAACCCTCTGTGATATCACCCAGCACCGCTCCCTGCTTTATTTATGGTGAAATAAAGCAAAAACACCCCATGCCTTGTGTGTGGTTATAATGATGGAGAACGTCTCCAGCTGACCAAGGTGTCCTCATTAATGGCTGTTCTATATTTAGCCTTTGCAGAGCCCGTGTGCCCCCAGTTTAATCAAAGACCTGGTAGCCATGGCAACGACACCGAGCATCTGGGTGTGTGAGATCTGCCAAACACCAGCACAAAGTGCAGGATGGGAAACACACAACTGCTTTAAGTGCATTACTGCATTGTTCTTCTCTACTACACATTTTGAAGTGTTTAGGAGAGCTTCTCAGCCAAATGTTAGACTGCTTTTGCAAAAAAAAAAAAAAAAAGAGCTCTATTAATACAGGTGGCAGTTACTAATCTCTTTTTTTTTGTTGTTGTTGTCTTTTTCTTAATTTTGTTTTGCAGGTGTATCAGCATTCATATACAGCATATTATGTCCTCAGCAAAATACCTCATGGGTAAGCAATTTTTCAATGTCTTCATTTAAAAACTGAGCCATTAAGAATCCTGCAAAACGATGTGTATTGTGACAAATGGTTGCCTGTGACAGCCCTCTGCAATGGCCTGGCTTTCAGCTGCAGCATCCACTGAGCTGTGTGCTGTGCAGAAGTGACAAAGTCTGGAAACAGAAGCACTCAGCTTCCCCAGAGAGCCAGACTACATTAATTTCATATTCCAGATTTCAAGGTTTTTGTCTAGAATATAGATGTGGTGGTGTCTGGCTGAGAGCCATGGCTGGCCACTCACCAGAGCACTGGAGAGGAGAAGGCTCTGGGCAGAACTTGTTGCAGCCTCTTGGTGCCTGAAGGGGGCCTGAAGTGAGCTGGAGAGGGACTTTCTACAAGGGCATGGGGAGTTAGGACAAGGTTCAGACTGAAAAAGGGCAGATTTAGACTGAATATTGGGAAAAATTTCTTTCCTCTGAATATTATGCAGCCTGGTCCAGGGGAGTGGTGGCTGCACCATCCCTGGGAGTGTTCCAAGTAAGGCTGGGTGGGGCTTTGAGCCACCTGGCCTGGTGGAAAGTGTCCCTGCCCAGGGCAGGGGGGCTGGAACTGGATGATTTAAAGGTCCTTTCCAATCCAATCCATTCAATCATTCTATGATTCATTATTCTTTAGCTTTGATTAGTTGCAGTTTCCATGTATGGTTGGAACATGGAAATTAAGAGATTTCTCACCATCAACCCTGTTAAAGCTGTAATGTCCATGTGACACACTCCAGACTTCTTCAGTCTCTTCCTTTCCCCGCTGCAATCTGCTCTTTAGTATCTGCTTTTCTTTTTTTTTTTTTTTAGTGGGGGGGTAGATGTGTGTGTGTGTGTGATTTTTTGTTTCCTTTTGTTTTGGTTTGTTTCAGTTTCTTTTCTTTGGTTGTGTTTTGTTTTGTGTCGGTTGCTTGGTAGGTAGGTTGGTTGGTTGAGCTAGGTTTCTTCTGGGAATTTACTCAACAAGCTTAGTTTTTGAAAACTCCATCTTTCTGGCAATATATCTGAGTAGTAGCTTGTGGGCTGAAAGTGTTCAGCAACAGGATGAAGACACAGCAGGAGCACATAAGCTTTGTGTCTGCAGCAAACCTGGCTAAGAGAAAAAAGGCTTGACTGACAGCACGGTTCTATTCCAGACAAAACAAAGGTGGAAAAAAATAGAAGTATCATGCATAACGTGTATTAGAAATGCTAAAAAAATAACAACACAGTGGTCCAAGAAGTTTTTTACTACTGGCTGATCTTTCTTTATCCCTGACAAGCAGCTCCTTGCTCCCCCAGTTCCAACTCTACTGTGCACCCAGCTGTGGCTCCCCTTGCTCTCTGTGTTTGGTTGGGCAGTGGTGCAGAAAACTGAAAGGCTGGATATGTCAGAGGAGAAGCTTTCAGCACAAAGGGGAAATCTGGAAAGTGAGAGCACACCAGAAGGCACTCAGGTGTGTCAGGCATTGGTGGCCCCACAGCAGGATGTGTTGATGTGGATCAGGAGGCCAGGAGCTGAAGAAGGGCTGGAAGGATCACTGAGTCTCATGTTGGTAACGGTGGGGTTTGCACAGTCTAGGCTTTTAGGCACTGTAAACTATATTGTGCAGTGGATATTCCATTGACCTTCCAGGTGATCATGGTGCACGTGAGTGGTAGAAAGGACAGCACACTGCCATTTCCATGGAACATGGGCATTTATTATTCCTGTGGAGCTCTGTGTATATTTTAGGGTGGTGCATGCACAAAGAGGGTCCAATATGAATTTTCTTAGTGACTCACATCCTTCACTAAGGGAAAGAAAACTTACTTACTTCAGATCTAGGAGGTGAACAGTGAACGTGATGTAACAGGTGGTGAAATGCATCAGCTGACAGCAGAGCCTCTGCTGGATGAAGGGATAAAAACCTCTTCATCACCTATTTAACATTTAACACTGGAATATTGCTCTGATGGATATCTGTGGATGAAGGTTGTTGAGGGCAGGACACAGCCCACTGACACAGCACAAGGTTCAGTTCAGTTTGACATTCCAGCTTCTTTGGTGATGATGAATTTGCCATCCACAAGCAGCCATCCTTGTCCTCCACCTGTCAATAACAGGAGTGACAAAATTCTGCACTGAGAAATGACCCCTTTGCCATTTTTACAAACTGTTTTCAGTTTTTCCTCCTCTGCAAGCAGGCACAGCTTTCCACCCTGCTGGTGTGTGTCCGTGGCCCTCGGCATCTCTCCAGCTCAGTGGCCCAGGCAGTGACTGCTGGGGAGCAAACTCAGTCCTGTCCCTCCTGCTCAGCACACATCACTCCTGGAAACAGGCTGTGACAGTGTCCCTTTCCCTGTGCTGCCTCTCTCTGTCCTGTTCCTCATCCTCAGCTATGATGGGGAAGGCCAGGCAATTTAGAATTTGCACCCTCTCATGCCCTTGCTACTCCCCTGCTGAGGCTAACTAATAAGGAAGCCAATTAACCTAATCTCTGGCATCGCTTTTTAAATAACATGCCATTAATCTGCCAGCATAAATTGGTTTTTAAAGGGAATTTTCTAATTATTTTTGCCATGTTCTGCATGCTCTCCAAATTCAGGCTGTGCCTGAAGTCAAAAGGAGCTCATACCAATGTTTTCCAGACTTCATTTCAAGCTCTCAGCAAGTTTGACAAACCAGTTTGGGAATGTCCTCAGTAACTACATTCCCAAATGATGTTTTACACAGCACTGCAACATTTTTCCACAAAAGCTGTTGCCAAAGTAAACTCCTTACACTGGCTCTATATAGGACAACTAACAGATGCCACTGACACAGACTCAAAGGATCTGATTTAAAAATAAAAACAAGCTCGAGGTAGCAGAAAGCGATCACATAGATTTATTACCTCCCTTCTGTTATTTCAGCTTTCCCACAGCCTCTTGGTAAATTCGGGGTAAAACCCACCACCTCTTTTGCTATAAAATTTTCAATAGTCAATCTGAATTTTATTTCTATATCTTTTATAGTAAAGAAATCAAGCAAGCAGCGCTGGGTGGCCAGGGAGTCACCACTCCACTCACAGCACACACCACTTACAAGTCTGGCAAAGTATATATACTGGTTTTAAGCCTACAAAGCATTTTCCAATGTGCTTGGTTAGCTCAAATCAGCATAATAATAATAATAATAATAATAATAATAATAATCAGCATAATAATCTGGGATCAGCAATTTCATAATCTTTCCAGATGGTTGTTGGCTTCTTGTCCTTATCCTTCTTGTGGCCGTCTGGAGGGAGGCCTTACCCTGGTGTCTGCTCCATGATTTTGTAAAGTGCATCAAGCTTTTTATTATGCATAAGCATTTAGTTGCTTTGTTGCAATATCTCTTAGCTTTACCACAACTTCCTCTATTTTATTCTAAGCATCAGTCATCTTGCTGCCTCATCTCTTTTACTCCACTGTACTTCTTTTATTTTGATGCTTTTTTTGGCTATTTGGTCAGAAAGCTTCCAAATCTTTCTTTGTGTCTGTTTTTGACACAGCAGATACAAGCATTTGCTGATCTTGCTACCTCATCTCTTTTACTCCACTATACTTCTTTTATTTTGATGCTTTATTTGGCTGTTTGGTCAGAAAGCTTCCAAACCTTTCTTTGTGTCTATTATCGACACAGCAGATAGAAGCATTTGCTGATTCCATTTCCAATTGACAGGAATCACAAAAACATTTTTACGCTTTGACTCATTTGCCTTCTGCTTTCAGCGGCCCGCGGTTTGCACAGGGGGCTGAGTTCCCGTTTTCCTGGGTGATGTGTGCAGGGGGTTGTGTTCCATCCCCCTTTCCCGGTGTCCCAGACTGCTCCTGCCGCTCTCCCAAAAACTCGCTGCTGGCGCCGGCTGCCATCTAGCGGAGCCAGCCCCGCGCTCCCCGGGTGAGCATCCTCCTCCTGCCCCACCCGCTGCCCTCCCGACGCCGCTGCTGCCGTTCAGAGATCGCTGCCCGGCACTGCTTGCAGCTGTCCCCACCCTAAATGTTTTTGCAAGGCTCTTCTCGTAACCCCACAGCTGCACTCGCAGCATCGCAGTTGCCAGCTACTTGTAATTTATGGGTACCGAGATAGCATCTGCAGGTCCGGATGTGGAACAGGGAGCTCTCCTGCAAGGTGCTGGGGAAATGTGGAACTCCAGCACCATATACAGTTATTTCCTAATACTGTTTTTCCTAATTTTGGAAAATAAAAATGTAGCCATACAGGCAACAACCTACTTATGAAAACTACTACTGAAAATTGTTTTATTCTTTTATGGGTCCAATATGAATTATCTTAGTCATTCCCATCCTTCACTGAAATAAGGGGGGAAAAACCTATTACTTCAGAGTTTTTATGGTCAGGCTGGGACTGAGCAGAGTGTTTCCCTAACCCAGTTGCAGGATTTCCCTCACCAGTGTTAAGGTGTTTTCACACCAGTGCATGCTGCTGGACCACTGGTGTGATCTGGCACTGCAGGTCCTAAGCAAGAGCTAATTTTGGATATCCAGGGGGGTACTTCTGTATGTAATCTTTTCGTGTGGCCAGAAGAAATGTTACTTTTTTGCAGTTGTGTTTGCATTCCCCCAAATAAAGCACAGCATAAAATATTTTCTCAGATCTCCCAGCACCCACCCAGTTCTGCATGAACCATTTTCCTCTGGACACAGCCAAGTGTCAGGGATTAGAGCTGACCCCCTTGTCGGAACTCTTAGCACATCCAGCTGGGACTGGTCAGTGGGAGCTTCCAAATGTTTCTACCAGGACCAGGGAGGAAATCGGCAGTTATTCCCACTCCTCACTGATTTTGCATTTGAGAAGGAGGGAATTGAGTTACTCCCAAGCAGAATCCATATTTCTTGCTGGATTTATGTGCTGGACTCAGAGGAACATGGCAAGCACAAACAGGAGTGCTCTTGGAGCTGAGTTCAGCTCCTCCTGCCTGCACTGCCAGGGATTTTACAGGTCTGTAAAATCCTGCACGAGTGCCC